AAGCAACTTGCTATCCATAGGACGACCCCTTCTTTTACGAGTAACCGTAGTCCACCCTTGATCGTCCTCTGAACCAGAAAACCCTAGATGGTTTTGCGATGGAGGAAAAAGAGGGTTTTTCTTGGGAGGAAGACGGTTATCAAAAAGGGAGTTGAAAGGGCGAGGGAAATGAGAAAAAGAGCGAAGATTAAACTTTGGGCCTTGAGCAGGTACATTGGAACTAGGCAAAGAGGGATTTTTAAACATTTTGGAAATGACATACCCCTTCTCGAGATGATGCAAAACCTGGCGAGGAGGAGAGGAGCCCAAGACACCATGATGAGATTGATGACGTACCTGATTAGCAGCAGACTTTGATGTTTCTCCCTCCTTCGTGAACGCTCTCGCTCCCGCACCTCTCTCTCCCATAGCGTAAACTTAGTTTGTTTAGATTATAATATTTTTTTTTCCAATAATAATGGACTACAACGAATAATAAAGATAAAGATATTTATCCAATATTCTAAAATATCATTATCTCCTAAATTATCTTAATAACTAAGGAGATAGATGTTAATTATGTGTCATTAACCAAGCTAGAAAACATCCAAAATTCATAGAACTTACCCAACTAGTAGAAATACCCAAAGGACTTCCATAATTTAAAGATTTTACCCACAAAAGTCAACTTACAAAATTAGTAAAAATAATCAAAAGACTTTCAAAAATTATATATTTTATGATATATTTCACAAAACTTACCGAAACCCAAAGGACTTTAAAATATTAAACCTTTTGCACAAAAAATCCTAGATTTTATAAAATTTTTAGAAAACCCTAGATTTCACAAAATTTGTAGAAATTTTGAGAATTACAAACATTTAAATTTTTTTACAAAAAATCACTAATTTAATAAAACACCAGAATTTGAAAATTTTATAGAAGAAGTAACCCTGAAATTTTAAAAAGACCCTTGAAATTTCATTAATTTACAAAAAGTACCCTGAAACTTGACAAATTTTGGTCAAATAGTTGAATCTCAACGGCAAGAAAGTATCATGAAATTTGATTAATCAAGCTCAAATAGGAACTCCATTAGAATTTAGAACTCATTTATGATCATTCTCTGCAGAATAACTTTTTGTAACAAGAACAAACATGTATTTATTAATTCATAAATTATATACATTCCATTAATAAGTATATTAGTAAATACAAGGGTTTTTTCAACATCAGCCCCTTAAATCATTAGTATTTTGTATTAGTCCCTCAGATCTTCATATTTTGATATTATACTCTCAAATTGTAAAAATATGTACATTGGTCCTTTTGTTATGTTTACGGTTCAAATACATTGGTCCTTTTGTTATGTTTACGGTTCAAAATCTTTAATCATGGCTAGGTTTAGACTAATCATGAGTATTTGGCTACCAAAATGTCATCCTCTCTCTCTCTCTCTCTCTCCTCTCCTCTCCTCTCTCTCTCTCCATAAATCCTTAATTGTGGCTAGTTTAGACTAACCATGAGTATTTGGCTACCAAAATGTCATCCTCTCTCTCTCTCTCTCTCTCTCAATGGAGGTGTTCCAATGGGCTTTTATAGCCTCTAAACATGAAACACAGAAATATCTCTCTCTCTCAATGGAGGTGTTCCAATGGGCTTTTATAGCTTCTAAACATGAAACACAGAAGAAGATGGGTTAATTGTTTTATTGGGTCGTCGGAGAACATGAGTTATGAAACAGATGTACTTTGGGCCTTTTATTAGGTTTCTTACGCTTAAAGGATATGGAAGTTCGGGCATTAGGAGTAAGGCTGTAATTATTAATTTCCATTGAAAGTTAAGCATAGCAGAATATTCCCCATCATTTGTAATTCTCATTAACCACAGGGACTAATATCAGCATATTTCTACAATTTGAGGGACTGATATTAAACTATGAAGATTTGAGGGATTAATAAAAAAATACTAATGATTTAAGGAACTGGCATCAAAAATCCCTTACACCCATGTGTCATTTAATTAAAACAATTTATTGAGGTGATGACTATAACGACAACTAGGAATTGGTCAACTGATCATTAATCCTAATTCATATGGATTTGTGTATTGTTTCTACTTATCTCATTGTTAAATTTATGTATTATTATATGTAAACACTAAAAAAATTCTATATAATATTTTCTCCTTTTTTTATTAATTTTCACATTTTCGCTGCTCACAAAATAAATTCAAGCTATAAAACAATTGTGTCCACAGTGCGGTTACAGTGAAGATATAAACTTAAAAGAAACTATTAAAATATTTAACCAAGTAATGCACGAGCATCTCACCAAGTAAAAAGAAATTGGTGCACTATTCTTAAAGGCACCAAAGGTCACCATGTGTACAAAAAATCGTCACATATCAAATCCCAAATTAAAAAATATCATGTATCCCTGTATCCTATCAGAAAATGGCTTATCTAATTCTATCTTCCTAAAAATTCTCATCATATACATAATTAGAAAACTCTATCCATTATAAAAATAGAAAATTTTAATAATCAAATCTTTATTAATTATAATCAAATTATAACTATTCATAATTAAAAACTCAAAAAAATGTTGTCATAGAGCCTTCCTTAAGTTTTTAAAGGTTAAAAAAATTCAATAAACCTCCCATAACTTTGGGGATTTTGCACTAAAATCTCAAAATGTTTGCATCTCTATCTAAACTCCCAGTAAATCTAAAAATTTCAAAAATGTCCAAAATTTTTTATTTTTTGCACTTAACCTTCATAATGGTATTACCCCATAATTTTACATTGACAAAAATTAAGATAATTAACCATCATGGTCAGTATATACCTCTCGATAAGTCTTTATTTGTGGGTTAACCATAATTATATATAGCTCTCGAGAATGTTTTGATGTTAAAAAAATCCCTAAACGTCTAAAAATTGCAAAAATTCCCTAAATTTTCTAAAATTTAACCTCAAAAAATTTTTAAGTTACAAACAACCCTTTGAAAAATCCTAAAACTACAAACAACCTCTAATCTAAAAATTATAAACAACCCCCTTGAAAAACCTAAAAATTCAATCAAACACCTATGATATGAAATCACAAAAAAACTCATAAAATAAAAAATGGAAAATAACACCTAGAAAAATCAAAAATTGTAAACTACCCCTAAAAATATGAAAATTTTGGGTAGACCCTTTAAAGTAAATGATTGAAAAAACCCCAGTAGAATTGGAAAACTCAAAAAAAATTAAAAATTATAAACAACCCCCTAAAATTTTTGAAGTTACAAACACCTTTAAAATTTGAAAAGAAGAGACAAACTCTTGGAAAATCTAAAAATTATAATTTAACCACTGAAAAAATCTGAAATTTCTAAGCATAGAGGTTTTCTGCCAAAAAGTATTCGGGATGAAGTGAAAAAATATAAATTATTGGGATTTCCGCCAAAATTTATTGGGTGTATTTTGGTCATTTGACTGCACATGAACTAGTGATGTTTGTCTTAGGGGTTTTTGCCAAAAGTTATTAAGAGTGTAGTGCGTGATTCAAAGATACTAGGGATTTAGTTCCAAACAACAAATTTCATTGGGGGTCTAGTGAAATCTACCATAATTTATTTGGATTTTTTTTATTTTTAACCCCCAAATTGTAAGTATATTTAAATTTGTCTCCAAATAGTGATAATTGAAAGTATTGACTCCCTTTTGACAGATGTCTTTCTTAACGCACTTCCCTTTTTATTTTCTACATCGGATTTGACATGAAATAGCTATTCAAAATAGTGAACAATCTAAATGATATGAATTATAAACAAGAAAGGACGTAAAACACAGAAACTAAGATGGCTCAGGCCACTCAAAGGGTTTGTTTATAGTAGTCCTTCAAATCTTTCAAACTTTGAAATAAGCCCATCAAATCTTCATATTTCCAAAAATCTTTAAGCATTTTGGAAACTAGACCCCAAAATCTTTAAGCGTTTTGGAATAGTTCCATAGATCCTCACGTTTTCAATTAATCCCCCAAACCTTTAAGTGTTTTGAAATTAGTTCCTCTAGTAAGCACCAAGTGGAAAGAGTTGGGGACTAATTTCAAACTACGAAGATTTGTGGACTAATTTCAAAACATGAAAGACTTGGGGGATTTGCATTGGAAAAACTCTCTCAAAAATAGACGTTTTGTCACAGAAGGAAAAATTGTTTGAGTTAGCGCCTTGGATTTCAGGTCGAGTATGAAATAATTGAGTTATCCAAATCATAGCACAACAATGTTTCAACCTTGGACACCTTAAACACGATTATCTCTTCAATGAAAGGCTCGAGCTTGCACAAAGATACAGATATCCTGTTGATTCAAGGACTCAAACCCAATCTAAAGAAGACCTATAGAATGTGACCTGATCAGTAGAATCAGGTTCTAGCAACTGAATCTGAGCATCAGCGTATATCTGAAGACTGATCATCACGATTGCTCCTCTACAAGTTCGGTTTCATCACAAACCCAGACTCTTAAGCTCAAGCTTGGCATGAACATTTATTTGCTCCGAACCTTAACAAACCATAAAATGAGGCAAATATGAACAGAGATTCCTTTGCAAATTACCCATCTAATTCCAATAAGTGAAATACTTTACCAACTTGAATCCACTTACGACACGTCCACTCAAACGACGAACATGTGCGAAAATTTTGTACCAATCGATAGACATTCATCTTTTGAGCATAAAGACAAATAGTTAAAGCATTCTCTAGCAATAAAACACAGAAATTATCAGTGCCATGAATTATTGGTGCCAAGTTCCCAAGAGTTACATTGTTGAACAATCCCTTTAACAAAAAAGAGCATTCCTTGAAAAACCTCATAAAGCATCAAAGCGAAAACAAGAAAAAATCATGTCATTCTAAGGCATTTCAATTTAACAGTACAAAATCCAACATCAGAAGTATAGACTTATTCTTACCCGATACAATCTCATAATTCCCTAGTTAAGACTGCAGACATTTTCTAAGAAGGAACGATAACAAGTTTTGGGGCTGCCCCATGACCTTCTGCTGAGCATTAGTTTCCTTCATACTTTGGGTCAGCCATCACAAAATGGTAAGCAATTACCAAGATGAAAATGAAGATGCCAAGGAAATTGGCAAAGAACCCCAAGTCCTGATCATCAATCATCTGCAGCATTAAACAGCCATGGATAACATAATCACGTGAGCAGACCTGCATCTCACAACATATACATATTTTTCCCGCTATGATTTACGATTCATTATCAGAACTGTGACTTTACAAAAAACATATTAGCACCGCAGCATGATATTCCAAACTACTTCCTACAATAGTTCTTGGCTCAAAAGCATTAGTTTATAGGCTTTTTATTTCCATAGAATAAGATCTTCTTTTTTCCTGGGATGGGTTTTAAGGATTATCTGCAGCACACATTCGAGAGATATATAATCCTATGCACAAGGTGCAGAATAACACCCATAGGTCTCTTTAATCTGCAAAACAAGTACCAAATGCTACATGAACATTTTCAAATTCTCAATGTATGCCCAAATAATGGAACCTTGCACCTAATATCTTACACAAGTCAGATATCAGCTACTGCATCTAAGGTTATGGCTATCAAGGAAATCCAGAATCTGATAGGATTTTTAAGTCCATCATCACCATTTCAATTAATTCATCTAAGGAAATATTGGTTATTCGATGTCCAATCCTTATCTGATATCCCTATACATTTACATCAAATAAAGATAAAGGTCAGCTACCTAGTTATACAATATTTATATGAATATTGGTATAACACTCACTTTATAATAGTGGATATAGATATAGATATAATAATATCTAATTAATGTCCTACCAATTTTATCTTTTAAAACCCCCATTTTTTACCAAGTGTTACAATCTGTTTCCAATTGAACCCCCAATCTGCTTCTTAATTAATATTGAAGTCTATTCTTAATTAATATTAAAGTCTACTTTTAACACCTTCAATATTATATTAAACACGCAAAATTTACAACCATGCACCAAAGTTCACTGGCTGAAACTAACCTGATCTATCTTCCAATTGATCCTATACCATATTACGAATACAACCACAGCTTCCGTCAGAACTCAAGAATAAATTGAACATTATTCCCTATCGAGCCTATATAACATATGCAAGATATTGTATACAACCAATTTTGAGGAATGGTAGTTGGACTGGGTCCTGTGTTGAGGCGACATCTTTTTTTTCTAAAAAAAAGGGTTAGTTGCATACATATCCCTTAAATTATCCACAAATGCAAAGCAGTCCCCCATATCTCAGTGCTTGCTCATTAGTCCCTCAAGCCTGCAGTTTTATAGTAACTTTGTCGCTCTATTAGCTTTTATGTTATTTTCTCTAACCATGGTTGGGTTATCCCTTAACCCAACATCTGCAATTAACTACATGCTCCCTCTAGTTGATGTTTCCCTCCCAAAGCTACCCAATTTAGAGGATTATAACCATGGAAAGAGCTATGAAATGGGTTTGGAGATGCCCTTGACTACTGGGGAAGAAGAACCTTTTGTGTTTGAGTTTTAGGATAGGCGGGTTAGGGGATAACATTGCAAGAAACGTACAGATTTGAGGGACCAATGAGCAAATAGTAACGTTTGAGGGACTAATTTGCAATTATGAATGATTTAAGGGTCAGAGAATAGTTATTTCTAAACTCTCATAGCTCACAAGTCATGCTCCCTTCGGCAAATATTACATCTTAAACTTGAAGCTTCGATCATAAAGTTTACCAGTCATCACCCAGGTCTTTTATCCAAGCTTAACCTCGTATCATCTCCATGCTCATGCATCTTCCCGGGCAAAACATCGATTTACAAAACCTAAAAACCTTCAAAGCAGATGAGAGGTCAGCAAATTTCTTTTCACCTTCTCTATCACTCCATTCAGAACTGTGAGGTCTATCAATCGGCTTATCCACTGCAATTTCTGTCTCATGACAGATAATTTCGTAAAATAAAAAGTGCTGACTAATTGAATTTTAAATTTTCCGTAGAATGCTGCCGACGTTCCAGTTGGAGAGAACAAATTGCCAAGAATGAATCCACGAGGTCGATCGATCGTTTGGATAGGGTCAGAGAAATTTAATGTTTACCCCCCTTCGCTTTCTATAGCTAAAATTAGGGTTAGGGTTTGATTAGGGTTTTAGATATGAGGACTGAAGAGATCAAATTAGAGAAGACGCGGGGTAAAATACCTTTTCGTTCGGATCTGAAAAGAGATGCCCTAAAGATCGAATCAGATCTGCCGATGTGCTCCTCTAATCTGTCGCGGCACGATGAAGAAACCAATATCTTTTGAAGCTTTGGAAAGGAATTTTTGAACGGGCCGGGCCCAAATCAAAAACATTATACTCCTAAGCCCTAGCAGCACGGTGATCCGGACCGATGGCCAGTGGTTTTCAATATCACCTGTAGTCTTTGGGTTCAATTACGGATTGGATTTAAACAAGAGGATAAACTTTAAAATAGACCTTCTTCAGGAATTTATTTTTTAAAAACGAACTATTTGAAATTTATTTGTCATCTTCGGTTCGGTTTCAGCCACATAGCTAAAACTGAGTCGAAAATAGCAAATAAAGTTCGAAAACTTCACCGGATTTAAAATCCCGTGAAGTTTAAGGGCTAACTAACCTCCGTAAGCGCATGGCTAATGAGATAGTCATATCTTCACGGGATTTCAAATCCAGTGAAATTGCAGATGCCACTTCCTGAGAGCACGAGCTCTCTAGCAAATAGGACTTTAGCTTCACAAGATTTAAAATCCCGTGAAGTTACGGTAGGCCCACACCCGCACTAGTATTTATATCTCCCCTCTCACAGGATCTCATTTCATGTTCTCTATCTCCACCCTATTCTCTCTCTCTTTGCTCATTTACCCCCAGACCCTAGATCCATCTCTCGCCACCGCCGTCAGCGCTATTATCGTCGGCTGTCTTTTCTCTCGTCACTATCGCCACAGCCGACCTCTTTCAGGGCTGAAAAGCATGGGAGTTCACCGGAGCTCGTTGGATATCAAATTTCCGTTGGATATCAAATTTAGGGCATCGACAAATTTTCGGTAAAATCTTTAAAAAAAATTATTTTTTCTCCTAAATTTTTATATTTTCTCACTATTTCATGCTAATAACTTGTTTAAATCTAAATATTAGAATACTTTTTGAAATATTTATTAATTTTATGAAAAAAATAAAGAAAATTGTAGATGAAGTTATAGGGGAAATTAGGGAAAATTGTAAAAATTAGTGTATTATTTTTTAAATTTTAAAAGTGAATATTGTTTAAATTAGGCAAATATAAAGGTTTGACATTGTGTAAAAATTATGGATGTGTAAAATCATTATTAGAGGATTTAATTGTAAATAATATTTTTTGTGTTTTTCATGTAATATTGATAGTAAAAAAATTTTTACTCTTCAGAGGTAACGATGAACAATCGAATTATAATTCTTTATACATATGATGGGAAGATTAACTCTCTCGAGAATAATATGCCTACATATGAAGGAGGTGTGAATAAACCGTTATTTATATCTAAATCATATACTTTCGATGGACTGGTTAATGACTTACACAAACTTACATTAACCAATTTACAAGAGTATTACCTCAACATAATTTGTAATTATCCTATTACGGGGAATAGAACAAGCGATATTCAAATCTTAAGTGACTATGATATGAGTCTCATTGGAATATTGTATGATGAGAAGCATTCGGTGTAATTATTTATTAAAGAGAATCATAGAAATTTGGGCAAATCAGTGAATCACGATGGAGTATACTCTCGCATGTTTGAGGACCTTGAAGTTGACTCCACCGATTTTTTGTCTCCGCAACAAGATATTGGATGGACGCAGTCATTATACTTGAGCGGTCCTTCGATTGTGGGCACTTCAAATACCTTCGATGATAACGCTCCCCTGTTGGCCTCTTTATTTTGATGATGTTTAACAAACAATTTACCACTAATGTTGTTTGTCTAGTGTTTGTTTAACAAACAATTTACCACTAATGTTGTTTGTCTAGTGTTTGTGTTTATCTATTTATTATAGACAAACAACATGTTGGAGGTTTACCACTAATGTTGTTTGTCTAGTGTTTGTGTTTATCTATTTATTATAGACAAACAACATGTTGGAGGTTGGATGGAATTACGCCACAACGATCATATCCAATGGAGGTTGGCGGAATCGTGGAGTGAAGCCTTACAATTCAAGTTAAAAATTCAAGTTCAAGCTTCATCCGCAAGTGTACTAAGTCGAGCTTATTGAAGACCTATAGCTTGGGTAATCTAGTTTAGAAGTTTATATCATGTGTGTTAAGTACTTTAAGCTCAATCATATATACACACATATTTTAATGGTTTCGTTGTATATATATGTAGTTATATATATATATATATATACACACACACTTTAATTGTGGTTTCTATATATATATAATATATATAGTTATATATATACATATATGTTTTGGTTTGATAGTTTTTAAGTATTAATATGAAACAATTGAATACAATTGAAATTATATTTATTGTTTCATACTTATATGCATATATATAATTTCATCAATATCAATTTTATTTAGTTCAATGAAATCATTTTTATTATTTTTAAAAATTTTGCAAAATATGCAATTATGTGAAAATATTGTATTCTCAGTTTTTGGACTTAACAATAATCATATACATTTTTTATTAAGTCTACAAAATTATTTTGTAATGTTTCAAAACATGGTTAAGCTAAAATGTTAAAACTCATGTGTTTACATTTTTATGTTTTGGACTATTTTACAAAATGATGATATTTTTCATTTGAGAGGTCCTTTTTAAAAACCAGTTTTTATAGCATGTTTATTATCATGTCTATAATCATTTCCTAAAGTTTTATAATTTTTGGAATTTATTTGATATTTTTTAACAAGGTTCAAAGTTAAAATTTTCTGTGTACATGTTTATGAGTCGACTCACAAACTACTGTGTAGTTTACAATTTCTTTCTAATGAGTCGACCTATCAGGTTGAGTCGACTCATGTCTGTCATAAGTCGACTCATAAAATATGCTAAAAAGTGTGTTTTATTTTTGCTGAGTCGACTCATGATCTTATGAGTCGACCATTGG